TTGAATCATCCCTCATTCCAAGAATTGTTAGGTCAGGCCGAGGAAGAATTCGGGTTTGATCATCCAATGGGTGGCCTAACGATTCCTTGCAAGGAAGACACTTTCATCCATCTTTTGAATGCCTTGTTAGAAGAGTAACACAACATCTTCAGAAAGGTTAGCCATGGAAAAATGAATCAATGCATAGAAGCTCCTTCGGTTGTCATTCTATGCCACAAGCCAAYGAACGACGAGCCAGCCCATAAGATCAAAGGGCTCTGCAGCTTCGGATCCAAAAGAAAGATTCTTCAATCAAAACTAATGGGGGATGGGCCAGCATTAAATCCAAACTCTCCAATTTTGTAGCTTTTTGTGAAACGAAAGGCATTGCATTTGAAGTTGAGGAGGGGGATTGAGATTAAAATCAGTCTCCCTATTTTTCCAAAGTATATTGTTGGCATTCCAACATTGTAAATTTACATTCTGTATACGAGCAAGGAGAATTTCTCCCAACGGAAATTGGAAATACCATTCAATAGCAAGTCTTCCATTTCCATTTGTTATTAGATCTAAATCTGTATTTTCTTTTTAATTATTGCCATGGTTCACCTATGGTTGGATTTGCAGCTTCTTATCTTGTAGATTATAGCACATTGATAATGTTGCCCCACAACGACTATGGGCCCAAATCTGGTAAAGGCCCATCACCATGGGATCCGGTTGCAGCTAGTCTATACACAAACACCACCACATGGGTCTCCTGCCCTTCACAGTTCACATTGTGTCGGTGAATGGCTGTTGCATTAATCCTTGATGAGAAATGCCCGTAAACAGACCGAAAGTAGGGGTGGCAATTGGGTGGGTTGGGTTGGGTTTGGTTTGGGTTGAGTTTCAATCCAACCCATCTAATCCATCAACCCATTAATGACCCAATTATATAAAATTAAATGGGGTGGGTTCAACCCAAACTCGCTTTAACCCAATCCAATCCGCCCAAACCCATTAATCTTATATTTATGGACTTAAAAAACAAACTCTCTCTTTTATTAAATAAGTTAGTTGTAGCTTGGTGGTTACTATAGTTATTATTTACATAAGTGGTGAAGGTTCAAATCACATTACTTGCATGTTATTTTTACACAAGCAGCGAAGCCATTTCACTATGTTCAAATTCTGGATTTGACTGAACCACTTAGGTTCAAACCGGTCAGACCAACTTAAACCACTTAGGTTCAATGGTAGTTGAACCGTTTAGATCTGGATCAGTCTAGTCGGACCGGACCATATAAGGTTTGTGGACGAATTCGGGACCGGACCGGCTGACCGGAACTACGCCAATGTAACTAAATCGGGTAGGTACGGATTCGGGTCGGTTCGTGTGGATGTTGGTCAGATGGACAGTCCAGATCAGGCAAACAATGTGGAGGTCGAATCATCCTGCCCAAAACCTTTTCAGATTTGGGTCGACCCGGATCAACTTGTACCGAGTCGAGTCGAAATGTGTGAATATTGATTGGACCGATGGCCCAAATAGGATAGAGCAAGCAGCACCGAACCATCCCATCCGGGTCTATTTTGGATTCGGGTCAACCCAGATTAGTATATGTTGGATCGGGTCAGACAACATTGAACTGGTCCGGGTCGAGTCAAATTAATTTGGATTTATGTTGGGTGAAGTGTATTGATTCAAGACAATACTAAGTTTAGTCAATAATTAATACATTAATTATAAATTATTTATTTTAAAAAAAATCCTAAGGAATTAATACTTATATCTATAATGGTTAACCAAATGGTTATCCACAACCCAACCCAACCCAACTTATTGGGTTGGGTGATGGGTTGATCACACAACCCGCCAAGTAAATGGGCGGGTTGGGTGGG